GCGAGACGTTTAACTAGATGAAGTGAGGAATCATTCATTGAATTAAATATCTTAGAATTTTTGATGTCAAAGAATTGGTTCAGAATGAATATAGAGAACTCAACGGTAATGAATAATGGAAATATTTGCAAGAATCATTAGGAATACACAGGAAAGAGGTTGATGAAATTTAATCCCAACTGCTTAATATATATGTTTTTCTTCAAATTTAATTTGGTTCTGGTTACTTAAGTCTAAATTAATCTTCATACCAAATATTTAACAATCATGAACATTCAAAGTTCAAATTAACAAGTAGCAATTAGTATAATAGAAATCAAGATCTACTTCATAAGTCCCTAAGGATCGACAACCTTTTATTATACTACAAAGACTTAGGTGTGCTTGCTCAGAATAAAATAATAGAACTTTAAATTCAATGGTTAGATCGTTAAAATTTGATGTAGAACATAAGTTATTGAATGGAGTAAGTTTAGATAAACTTACTCTAGAGTAAATGGATCCATCCTCATATATATGTGTGTGTGTGTGTGTGTGTATGTATGTAGGGACGAATCTACATACAAGAGTGTGGGGGCACTTGCCCCCATTTCCATTTACACATACATATTTTTTATCAAAAAAAATATTTTTAAAAAAATAAAAGTTATATTCTAATAAAATAAACATATATATTTAAATTATCTTATGTATTAAATATAAATTTGGAAGAGATGTTCATTTATTTGATATTTTCAAACTTTTGAGGAAGATTAGTTTTCATATGTGATAAAGAATACTCATTAATAACGAATCAAATTTTTTAAAAACTTTAATTATAAATGCTCACATATATAATGTAATATATTTAAAAAATTAATTTTTGATAAAAAAAAATTTGCAACATGCATGTTTACCTTTTGTGTTTTTTATTTTTGTATATGTTGATTAAAAAAAATTAAAATAGTAAAAATTGTAAGATTGTATACATGGATTAAAAAATAATCAAAATAGGAAAGATTGGAAGATTTATGTTCTATTTAGAATTTTTATTATAAAATGTTTTAAAATAAATTATCATCTAAAAATTTATATTAGATATTAAAAACATGTTTATATCATAAATAAATTAAACTTGATTTTACAATTTAACATATTTATTTTTATGTTTTTATTAATGTTAAATTATTATATAGTAGATATTTAAGATTGTAGTTCTAATCAAACATTTAAAAAATGTCTATGGTAGATAAATATATCATATATAGGATATACTTTTTTTAAGAAAGTTAGATTCAAACCTACTAAATTATAATATAACCTAGTCTGACCTAATTTATTTTTATCCTTAATCGTAATCGTAGATATAAAAACTTGTACAAAATAATTATGATATATATTTATACTTTTAAAAGTTATATGTAAAATTTTGAATACTACAAATATATGAATAAATATTGTCTCCACTATCTAAAATTTTTGGATCTGTTACTATGTGTATATGTGTGTATTTGTTTTATTTTACCATTATTTCAAATTAATAACAATTGACAAATTTAAACCCATAACTTAAATTTGTCTTTCAAATTCAAGACTACAGAACAAAAATTATAAATTATGAATTATTAAATCTAAAATTTTCAATTAATAAGTTTACAACTAGTAATCTTTATGAAAAAATATATATAATGATCCTTAAAAATTACAAGTGCTAATAGTCATTTAATAATAATATTATATTACAACACAAATTAACACATACCGTAAGTTATAAAATAAATAATAAATAATATTTAATAAACAAATTGAGAAGCCAACTTAGAGCATCTCGAATGACTGGTGCTTGAAGAGTTGCTTAAGCTAAGCAACAGATCCTTCATTTTTCAATTCACTTATTTTTGGCTTAATTACATTTTTTATCCCTCAAGTATTGTAATTGTGCAATTTTGATTCCCAAAATTTTAATTGGGTAATTTTAGTCCCTTAAAGATTACAATTGTGCAATTTTGGTCCTTCAATTTTTAATTGAACAATTTTAGTCCCTCGAATATCATAATTGTGTCATTTTAGTCTCTTCCATTAAAAATTTAATAATTTTAATATATATACATACAATTTTATACAATTATTTATCTATTTAAGTTAACATATATTATAATTTTCATTATTGTATCAAATAATATATATTTATTATTACTAAATAAATAAAATTTATATATTATTAATATTTTAATATTATTGATAAATTAATATTTAATTATATATGCAATATAGGTATATACTTTTATGTTTATAAATAGATATCTATTTCCTTCGAAATACCACACCAATAATTTAGAATCTATAAAAAATTTTGGGATAGTTTGTAAAGACTTAGAGAAGAGTCATGGTAAAGAATAATATGAAAAATATTGGAGTTGCGATTACGATCATAATTATGTTGAGTTTCGCACAAGCTGAATACAATTCTCCACTTATGCAAGTTGAGTCAAAAAAAGACTCATTTAAGTCAATCAAGTGTAAGGTCCAATGTGCATTAGGTTGTGCATTTTCTAGGTATCCATATAAGGTGTGTGAGAAAAGTTGTGAAGAATATTGTAAAACACACTCCCTCAATGCTATCTACAATTGTATCGCTAGTTGCGACTCGATCAAGTCTATTGACATCAATATTGGTATACTTTTAAAGGTTTTATAATTATTTTCTATAATTGAGTTATATATATATATATATATTACATGTTTTTTTTAAATGATATTTTGTTTGAATTAGACATTAAATGTGAGTATTTTTTCTGTTTGAAGATTCAAATATTAGTTCACCATGTTGTAGAGAACTAATTCCCACTAGTGCAAAAAAGGGTATTTACGTCACCCAATTTACGTTTTCGAGTGGGAGTTGATGGTGTTTTTGGGTTCAAGGGTAGAATCTATGTGCCTAGTAATCCCAAATTAAGGAAGATGATCTTAGAAGAAGGACATAGGAGTACTCTTAGTATTCATTTGGGAGCTAGTAAGATGTATCAAGACCTTAGGAAGATGTTTTGGTGGCCTAAGGTGAAGAGAGAGGTAGAGGAATTTGTGTACTAATGTTTAATATGCAGAAGTCTAAGTTATAACACCAGAAACCTTCAGGACTTTTGCAGCATTTAGACATTCCAGTTTGGAAGTGAGATGGTGTATCGATAGACCTTGTTGTAGGTTTTCTTTAGATTCTTAAGAAATTTGATTCTTTTTGGTTTATAACGGATAGAGTTGGCAAGATTAATAGAGTGTACATAAATAAGGTAGTGAGGTTACATGGGATTTTCTACTAGTATAGTTTCTAATGGGAAATATTTAGGAAAGTGATATTTGGGAGTAGAGAGCAAGATGCATGAAGTTCATCCATTCTCATTTTTGATAAATTTCGGGGACGAAATTTCTAAAACAGGGGGGAGAGTTGTAACATCCCGGTTTTCATACCTTATATTAATAATATTTTAGAAATTATTTCAATATGTTAATGTATTTATTTTGGGATTTTTTGTACTATTTAAGTATTCATATGAGCATTATTATGTTATAAAGCATGATTTGTAATTATTATTTTGGTATTTAATGTAATTATTTTATAGTTTTGATATTATTTAAAAATTTATATGAGCACTATTTTATTTATGAGACATGATTTATAATTATTATTTTGTTTAGTGATATATAGATAACTTTTATGACAGATGCAGGAAAGTCTTGTCGAGCGGATTTCTCTGCTTTAGGCGCGACATTTAATTCGTCGGGTGCGCACAGGGCATGCCGGGCATGATGCTCTGCTTTTGGTGCAACATTTAGTGCCCCGGGCGCGAGTTGGGGCGCATTGGGCGTGATCCTTATGATGTTTTACATGTTTTGTGTCTTGTTTGAAGGTGCAAATTGTGTGAGAATTGCCTTATTATTGTGTTAACGTAAGTGATGCGTTTCATGAGCATGATGCGGACAAGAATCTCCAAATGATGATCTTATGAATATGACTATGAGAAATGTGAAATGTGAACAAGTGACATGAGACATGATGTGAATTACGTACTATTGTGAATACTATGACTATGAGAATGTGAAACATGGTGAAATGAGATAAGACACGAAATTCCATGACAAGTAAAGTGATGAGTCCATGAAGTGTGAATGTGTTAGCTTGGGGGAGTCCTAGGGGATAGTGCGGTTTGGATGTCTCAATTTCGCTCATTTGTGAGCACGAGACATAACTTACATAGATTCGCTATCCTGACCAGACCTGAGCAGTACATCCTTCTAGTTGAGAGTGTATGGGTAGCTCCCTACACACACTCCTAGAGTACCTTAGGTGTGTTGTTTAGGCAGCACACCAATGATATGTGATATGTGACTAGCGCCACATGCATGCATTTATAAGTCGAGTCCATGGCATCATTGCATGATAAATGAATGTACATGTAATACTGATTATGTATGTGTATTGTTTATATGTGATTTGTGTTTGTGACTTGTATTATGTTTGTTGTGTGTGTGCTTTCTAACATTTATTTTTGCACCTAAACCTGAGTGAGATGTTTCTCACTCCTCTGTTGCTCTTTGCATGTGTTTAAATTGTGTTACAGGTGATCATCAACATTAGGATGTTGGTGATGAGACTTAAGCATCAATTGGGTGTGTTGTGATAGGATATGTGACATTGGGGCATAACTAGGCTTAGTTTAGGATTTCATTATTGTTATTTTGTTTAGGAAAAACCCATGTTTCATTTTCTTGTAAATTCCACATTTAACCATGATTTACGTTTACGAATGTGAATTCTCTACTCTTATATTAGCTAGTGGAACCATTGTTTAAATTCAAATATTTTTCTTTACTCCAAGAATATGTTTTTATAATTATTGTATATGTGTGTGGGGGTAGAGGGTGTCACATTATACATCAATGCTCCTCCACTAGTTGCATCAATCATGCTCATATCCATCAATACCAATCCCTCATATAAATATTGTAGCAATAATTGCTCACTAATTTGGTGATGAGGACAAGTGGAACACAACTTGTTGAATCCCTCCTACTACTCATGCAAAGTCTCACTATTTTGTTGCCTTATTCCACAAATCTCTTTTCTAATTGTTGTAACTCTAGAGGCAGGGAAAAAATTTCAAGGAAAAAATCTCTTCCTCTTATGCCATGTAGTGATGGTTGCTAGTAAAAAGTAAAGATAACCCTTAGTAGCAGCATCCAAAAAGAAAGGAAATGCCTTCATTTTGACATGATCTTCTAGCACTCCTTTCATGGTGGAGCACACAACATGGAACTCCTTTAAATGCTTATGAGGATCTTCACCTACAAGTCCATGAAACTTAGGCAACAAATGGATTAGCCTGGATTTAAACTCGTAATTAAATTAACTGTTAGGTGCATGATACCCAAAAAATGAGGAATATGATGTCAAGTGTACATGTGTTACACTTATTTATAAATAAAACTAATGGGAATTTTAATTTGAGTAATTAAAGGTCCAACGCACTAAATCAACTAATTACATTACTAAACAGATCCTAACATACAATCTTAAAATAAAAAGAAATTGTTGTGTAGGGTTGCAACTTTGCAACACAATTTTGGATCACTTAACGTCTATATTGGACTTTTCTCCTAAAATAGAAGTTGTATAAATATCTCTTATCTTTGCAAGGATACCAAGAACACCTAAATTGGATGTCAGGAACTCTAGATATAACTTGCACAAGAATCAACGTTAAAACAAGAAAAATTACAAAAATTTGAAAATGACTTTCTAGAACAATTTGAAGCTAATATATCACAATATGATACTAATAAAAGTCAAATAAACTAAAAATAATACATAGAAAGATATACATAAATTGGTCTATCACATATACAAGTAAAACAACACAATACAAAAAATTGAAGCTAGTCAAGATTACAATCAACACTTTAAAACATTCAACATGCCAAGTAAAGTCTATGCAAAGGTGGGTGGAAGTTGTAATTGTTTTTCTCTAATTTCTATAGACTATTATTGAGTTTAAGAATGGAGTTATAACTCCAACAATGTCTTTATGAGGATGCTACATGTTAGATATTTTATCAAAATATACTTTGTCATTAGTATAAATTCACTCAAAAATGAGATATTATGAATGATAGTTCTTATAAACCCATTTTTAACTAAAATGAAGTATTATAAATGAAGTAAAATTACATTTCTTATAAAAAATATTGCTATTTGAATTACACATAATATATTTTTACACGTAATCCAACATTTTTTATTTATTTTATTGAAATATTTAATTTTAAAAAAATGCATAAGGTGAACCTACATTTCTAGTTAAATTGGATTAACTTTGTTGAATAAAAACATTTATTTGCTATTTTACTTGTATTTCTTTATTTTAGTATAAATTGTTTATATTATTTTGAAAAATATTAGATCATTATAGGGGAAGGCGGCCGTGGAAGGCAGGCTTGCGGAGGTCGAGCGCTCCGTTGTGATGGAGCACAAGAAGGGCTTCCAAAAGGCTGCTCGCCAGGTGCGGCTCCTTGCTCCTGGGTTCGACTTTTCCTCCATGCATGTGGAGAAGGTTGTCCGCTTTGGGAGGTTGATCAAGGAAGATGACGTCGAGGAGAGCTCTAGTGACAATGCCTCTGTCTAGGCCTTTTTGGTTCCTCTGTTCTCATTTTTTTGCTTGTTTTGTCGGATTCGTGTATTGAACTAGTGGACATGAGTTTGTATGTATGTACTTTTATCAGACGTAACCCTTATTTATTGAGTAAAGAATGAAGTTTTTATCAACAAAACTTGACACAATTATTTATATATTTTTATTATTTACCAGAATTACAATGACAAATAATAAAATTTAAACCTAATAGCATATATGCATACTAATCTAATAAAAATATTTTAAATACGTTGATGAGTGTTTATTTATAAATTATGTGTTTAAAATAGATTTTATTGAAGGACGTAAAATTTATTTTGAAGCTTTTTGTCTCTTAGAAGAAATTAATCTTATCACTCAACTATGAAACATGAGATGCACAAAAAAAAAATGTTAGAAGCCTGTTAAGTTGCAATTTAAAGGGGAAAAGAAATACCAATTAAATACTCAAAATAACATTATGACATAATTCCTTAAACAAAATTTGTTTACAAAATTAATCCATCAAAAAAAAAATTCCCTCTCATTTAGTCCTTTAAATTTTTTGTTATTAAATTAGTTCATTAATTTTTTCATCACTTTAATTCTAAAAAAAACTAAATAAAATTATACTCTTGCATTTTGCCTTTCATATAAACATAAAATTCAATTAGGTGTGAGATGACAAAGTATTCGATTATCATTCATTGAACTCTATCCATTATAGAAAATATGATCTATTTAGTTGCAACAAACTATATTAGGAAATCTACTTACGAATTGCTTACCTTTTTTTAAATTCTTGATATATCTTCTCTTAATTTTTTTGATATAGTGATCATTTATGATCAATTACATTTGAACACCCTTAAAAGCGAGCTGAGGGACAAAAACTATTATTATTATTATTATTATTATTATTATTATTATTATTATTATTATTATTATTATTATTATTATTATTATTATTATTATTATTATTATTATTATTATTATTATTATTATTATTATTATTATTATTATTATTATTATTATTATTATTATTATTATTATTATTATTATTATTATTATTATTATTATTATTATTATTATTATTATTATTATTATTATTATTATTATTATTATTATTATTATTATTATTATTATTATTATTATTATTATTATTATTATTATTATTATTATTATTATTATTATTATTATTATTATTATTATTATTATTATTATTATTATTATTATTATTATTATTATTATTATTATTATTATTATTATTATTATTATTATTATTATTATTATTATTATTATTATTATTATTATTATTATTATTATTATTATTATTATTATTATTATTATTATTATTATTATTATTATTATTATTATTATTATTATTATTATTATTATTATTATTATTATTATTATTATTATTATTATTATTATTATTATTATTATTATTATTATTATTATTATTATTATTATTATTATTATTATTATTATTATTATTATTATTATTATTATTATTATTATTATTATTATTATTATTATTTATTAAAGATGTCTTCTTTTCTCCATTCGTTGTTTTATAACTTATCTTTATTCAATCTGAAATTTATTAAAATAAATAAATTAAACGTGACACCTTTATGCGATTAATCAACATCAACAAATTGATGTAGGTACATTTCTAACTAAGTTGACTTTAAACCTTTATACCTAAATATCATTATAATACACGTTTCATCCACTTAAGCTTCGGTTTGCGGTTTAACTAGCTATTTCATCTATGTGCTAGTCCGTTACCTACTGCAAAAGTGCAACTATATATATATGGAAAATATAAATAAAAAGCATATATGTTTTAAAAATAAAAAATAAAAGAGAAAGCAGGTTCGGAACAGAAGAGAGACCGGAAGGTGACTGAGTTGTTACTTACCCAATGTTGGTTTAATCTTGGCTTTCAAACCAAACATGATGGGCAACCTCTATGACATGTCTCATAAATGACCCTAAACTCTGAAAGACATATCTCAACAATACTATATTGTGTGAACTAAGCAATTAGGATCCTCCCAAGAAGCTTCTGCTTCCTTAGCCTCTACCTGTATATGCATGCCATATACACACACAAAACACACACACATATATACATATTTATTGTTTAATCATACTTTTACTCCCATTAATTTTGGAACATGTGCTATTTCAATCTTTGAGGTTTTTTCTTTTTCAAATCAAGCTTGTCTATTTTTAAAAAAGGAAAAAAAAAAAAGTAAATGTATATATTGTGCAAGTATTATTATTTGGGTAAACCTCTAATCCATTAACAATTACACACTTATAGAAGAAAAAATATATATAAGATGGTAAAATGAGTGTGTTTCTCGTGACATAAGCTAAACTCAATTCATGTACTTAAGTTTTATATTAATTATTTCATTTAATTTCTTCAAAATCTAAAGTATGCAAGTTAATTTTAGTTTATAATTTTTTTTAATGTATTTTATCCTTTTTTTTTGTTTTCAATTCCTTATAAAAAAAATTACGCAAATATGAGCTTAGTCTTTCTACCAATTTTCTCTTATCTAAATCTCTCAATTTCTCGTTTTCTTTCTTAATCAAAATATTCATAAATTGTTTTTAATTTTCTTCTCATCAGAACACAAACAAAAATATTAAATTTGACATCCTATAAATTAATTGCTTCAATTTTTATTGATTTTATTGTTCTAATATTTTATATTTAAATTCTAAATCCAAAACCCCCTAAATATTTAAATAGAATATAATAATTTAGGAGTGTTAGATAAAACAAAAATTGACAGAGAAAAAATTTGCTTAAAAAACTTAAGAAACTAAAATTACAAACGATCCAAATTAACGGGAAGAAAAGTACAACCCAACCTATACTTTTCAATCCTTATATTTAGAGAAAGATCAGTATAATTATGAAACTCAATCATTGCAATTACCATTAATAATCCCAAGATTGAGATTATGTCATATTTAGTTAATTTGGCTCATTAACCACTGGTCGCTTTTCATACATTTTTCAGGGATACGATATCTTAATGCCGCTGAAACATAAATAATGATTTAAGAAGCGATTATTGTACGCTAAACAAGAGGCACTCTACTCTCTCTGTTAAACTTCTATAACACTTTATTAAGATAATCCAATTCTCAGAGAATTTCACACTCTTTAGTTGGAATATTATTAGATAGGGGTAAATAATAAAAACATGATGACATCTACCAGAAAGAAGAAACAAAAATACAAAATAACACCAACAACTATCAAAGTTAAAAATATTTTTTAATTGACAAAAACTTTTAACAGATTTTGACTTCAAATTTATTGACCAAATACTATAGAATTTTTATTGCACTTTGTTCCGGCCAAAGGGTGGACTAGGGTTTTTTCCTAGATCGTGCCTTAGAGCCAGAGCATTCAAAAGTGTAATCTGCTTTC